TGATGACAGGGTCGTCTAATGCAAGAAATATCACCCAGTCGTGCATAGCTGGCATTGCAGCAGAAAAGCCATCTGTTCAGTAGGTGAAATGCATAGACAAGTTGTGCTGTATATGTAAATAGAAAAGTTTGAGGTGCAAGGCTGATTGCTGAACTGCTGTATGCCACAGAAGATGGCTTTCCATTGCAGGGAGAGCTGGAACTGGCCCCACGCTCTGTCCTTGAGGGCACTTCCTTTGGTTTTCAGACAGTTCAGTAAATCTGTGGAGTTATTTTTAAGCTAGCATAGTGCAAAGGGAACAGCAGACTTTGGTCAAGAAGTTTGGTTTTAACTCCTTCAGGGAACGGCAAAATCATGTAGTCATTTGGGGTGCAGAAAGGGCAATTGGCTACATGTCCCCAAGCTTCCACACCACCCATGCATCATTTTGGCTACATGGGTGTGCTGGGAAGGTCTTAAGGGAGAGTCCCGCAACCCAAAGGTACAGGCTGTAGCCTGAGCTGTTTTGGGGATGTTTGCTCCCTTTTTAGGGGTACCACATCTAGCATTGCAGATGGAAAGGATTTCTTAACCCTGCTTTGGAGCAGAAAGTGGCCACTCTTCCACCACTCTGCCCTGTATGTGCAGGGAAAGTATGGCAGCACATACAGGTATGGGAGGAACCCTACTGAGGCATTGAAATGCCAAAGGAATTGTGATTTTGAGCATACTTCTGAAGGCCCTCAAGCTGTGCAGGAATTACAGCTCTGATGTTTCTCCTGTCTATGCAGCCACAAATCTTTTTCTCTCTGGGACGGAGTTTCACCCAGAAGAGGAGATGTGACCTGTGTTCATCTCTCCTTGCAAGGCTCTTGAGGCATATTTAAGACACTCAAACAGTAGAAAGACATGATATTTGCTCTTTTTCATCATCAGAAGAGGATGGCCTTTTGGAGAATCCCCTGCACTCTGCCTGGTGGAATTAGATGAAATGCTTCCAACTTGAGAAAAGCAATGAAACCCAAATGAACATCTTCCCCTCTGTTAATTACTTACTGCCACAAAAACCCTCATGCAGGGCAGATCCTCCAGCTTTCCGTGGAAATGACTCAAGAGATTTCCTGGGATGCGCTGGGAGGAGTTAATGACAAAACCAGTATCTCTGTGTGACCTGTCCTGCTAGATGGAGCTGAACATTAGCATAGTAATGAAGCCATTAAAACAAGTCTTTGATTTCACAAGGAGCCAGAGTGCTCTGGCCGGGACCTTGTGGCTTGTCCCCCATCCGTCTCGACTTGTTTGTTCTTCCTTCTCTTCTCCAGCCTCTCGGTTAGGCTGCTTGGGGTTCTGCACATCCACCTCCTTGAGGAATTTGGTGTGAAACATTTTTAATTTAATACGTCAGTAAATAATGATAGCAAACATGAAGGCCCGAAAGCCCAAACCCCAGACCAGTGGCAACAACCAATGCGCTCTGTGTGCCAAGACGGATGCAGTGTTTCTTGGCATGACAGCAGAAAATATCTTGCTAATTCACTGACGCCCAGGACTCTGATTGGCTCTGTGGACTGAGCAAGAAGCCCGAGAATTAGAAGAGGATGAGCAGCTTTAAAATAAATTTCTAAAGAGGGCCCCAGGGGCATCTTCTGCTCACCTGGGTTCATTCATGGCAAATGTTGTTCATGGCAATGGCTCAGCTCCCTCCATGTCCACCCATGAAGGTTCGTAGGTTCCTTTGCTTGGGGAACTTTTGACAAAGAGCCTCCACCAGAAGGACAAACACAATTTTAAAGGGATAAAGCAAACATTCAAATATTCACAGTAATTCTGGTGCAGCCCCTTCCTGAGGGCCGGAGTTTGGGAGCTGTGGGATTCAGGTTTTGCTTTTGGTACATGGAGCTTTGAACGTTGGCTGAGACTTGCGATTTCATGATTTCCCTTCTTAAGCCTGGCGAGCAGATGTCAAAAGCTGCCAAGCAGCAAAACTGTTCCTATGTTTGTGAGAGCAGGTCACCCCTTGGTGCATCAAAAATGCTCATCTTGACACCAAAGCAGTAGTTGAAATGTGTCACACAGCCTAACACATCCTGCAGCACTCTCCTTTGGCTTCACGCAGGTTGCTCTCAGGGAATGAATGTGGTATTGGGGTCTGAGATCGTATTTTTAAGGACATCATTGGCAATTGGAAGTTCTGAGGAGCTAGCAAGGGGGACTAGCTAATTCAAAAGTAGATGCTGTCTCTGCAAACTTGTATCTTAATGTGCGGTGTGTGTACTCCAGAGAGAGCAGATGTTGCCCTTATAGTAGGTGTCTTTGCACTTTTCCAAGAGTTACATGGACCATGGGTTCAGTAGGGTATGTGCGGGGGTGGGTTAGATATGTGCGTCTCTTAAAACAGCAAATTACAGACTGAATTAAACATCATTATAACTCCTTATAGCTATATAAACATCACTGCACTCCTTTCCCCAGACTAAAATCCACATAGCATAAGGCTACTTCAGTCTCTAATTATAAACAATTAGATTCAAGTCTTAATGACTTCCAAAATAGAAGCTGCATTTCAGCAGCACACCTGGCTTGATTGCTTCTACTCTGAGAGATGGTTTGCTTCGGAAACAGGAAACAAATTTACCTGCATATATAAATATGTATATAAAAATTGATCCCAGTTGGTCTCAGATGAAAAGCCAACTTGTAGACTGTTAAGACATCTCCAGTTTTTGGTTTTCTGCTGAG